GTAAGAAATTGATCTGACCTCATGACACTAATTTTCATAGCCAAATGTACAGCAACTGATTTAAATGACAGTATGTCAATGCGCGAATTGGCTGTTTGGCATACCCGAGCTGCCAGTTAGCCTCGTATATAAACGATTGCGCGGGGGAGATTGTCACTTTTGTGATGTTCCCCCCCCCATCGTATCTCAGGTATGTGACTTGTGCCTCACGCCCACCATATGGAGTCATTTTGACTCGGTTGATCTTGTGAATATCAGTGTTCATGTTTCAACAGTGAAATTCTCATCTGCCCAGTAAGAATTAACGTAGCAGAAATATCGTGTGTCGTTGCCAGATGCGCGATTGTGTGTAAATGAGTTTAGACTTTTAAAACACTTTTGTGATGCTCATCGTATCTCAGGGACGGTGTGTTGTTGCTGAATACCCGCGCCTACCAGCTAGATGTCCAAGGCAGGATGTCTTTAATTCAGCAAGACTAAAACCAAGGAGTAATGCACCCTGGGACCTCCACCTGGGAGGCTCAGCTCATTAACCGTGCGCTGGAGACCAATTGAAGCTAATAGAGAGCTTCATTTGTTGTAGTAAACACCAATGAATGAGCTTGGTGTATTAATCTCGGTTATATGTGCAAAGTAGTGTTCTTGTACATGAATGGGGATAATTTGCAGAAATATAACTGTCCCAAGTTGAGTATGGAAACCATAAATATTGCAAAGACCAGTATTAAAGTTTGTTATGTGTTGTGAGTAAATCATTCATATGTACAGTGCTCCCAACTGAGACCTGGTACATGTTCCATGTTGTTCATTCAGTACAAACATGATGTTATACGGAACGTATTATTATCTGTGCTATTAGCAAGAGTGCAAAATGATCATCTTTATTTTCAAAGAAATAATTTAACAGTTGTTTAGTGTTGGAACAAATTATCAAAAATCTATTTTGTTACTTCTAAAGTAAGACTTAGTGGTCCATTCTTGTCTAAGTGTGTTTAAATTGTCCTTTTATTCACTTTTGATTTTAATAAATATTGAATTAGTAAATTGTGGGTATCACTGCTCCTTCCCTTTTAATGCTCTTGGACACCCAGCTTTCCTTGATTTTCATAGCAACATAAAGGTTGTATTCTTGCCGCCCAACACAATCTCCATCTTGCAGCCAATGGACCAGGGAGTTATAGCCACTTTTAAAGCATATCATCTGAGAAGAACTTTTGCTGAGGCAATAACCAAGACTGATGATGAGGTATGCTATGACACTCGAGGAACTTTGGAAGAAATATAACATTTACCAAACTAAAAAGCACATTGTTTCATCTTGGAATGAAATCGAACAGACTAATTTAAATAGTGTTTGTAAAATCTTTGCCCACAATTCACAAACAACTTTAAAGGTTTTGTGGACCCAATGGAGAGTGTAACGAAGAGGGTTGTTGAAATGGGGAATCAGCTTCAGTAACAGATAGAAGCTGACAATGTTATTAAGTCTCTTGAGTCCCATTCCAAAAAAACTAGCAAATGAAGAATTAATGGAATTGGAGGTTTGGAGCACTACAGCAGTAGTAGTAGTAGTAGTAGTACAACCTGATGAAGACATGGTTCCCAAGAGATTCACCACCAAGGGTAAGGCTGAGGTATTCAAGCATATGGAGGAAACTTTGGCTCTCTCTGAAGCAATGGACCCAAACACTACTAGGTTCATCAAAGTAAAAAAATGATAAGTAACGATCTTAGCTGTTATAAAGAAACTTATGAGGATAAAAAAGAAAAGAAAAGAGATCTGCTGTTCAGATGACCCTTGAGATATTCAACACTTTCAAAGTGCCTCAGCGATCCAGCCTCCAGTACCCCTACCAATGCTTAACAAGATGCACCAGAAACAGCATCTGCCACTGCTTCTACTTATTTTTTTTTACGAGGATTAACCCAAAAGACTGTTATCTACAACACAAAGATGCTGAAAAATCAGCTTTTTGAAGCGAGACAAATTGTAAGAGAATGGAAACACAGAAGAAGGCAGAGCATTCCAAAGTTTGGCTGTGTGAAAAAAGAAGCATGTACTATAACGGGGTATTCTAGTGTGACCGACATCCACACAGGAACGGTGGGCAGCATGAGCAAGACGAGTGTTACGAGACCACTGCCTTGCCAACGGTACAACTGATACCAAATCCACCGAACATTGCCCATTAAAGTACCTGTAAAAAAGAGTTAAACAACATTGTGGCAAAGAGAAAGGGAAGAGGCCCATCATCGCCCTCTTCTACTAGTCAAGTAATTAACCACTCTTCCTAAAATCATCCCTTTTCACAAGAAAGATAGTTTTAAGGGCCAAGGTAATTAATTCGTTTTTTTTCTTTACATTACTTTATGTGGTACTGCATTACTTTATGTACAGTATTTACAGGTACAGTACTTACATTAGTTGTTATGTATGGGTTATTTGTTGTTTTGTATGGGCAGGGCTGTGTTTTAACTTACTCTAACCTAAGGAATTAACCCTTTTCTGACTCAAGAACAGGGCCCAGGAACAACCCGGGGACCTCCAGGATGTGATGTTTGCATTTTGTTTTTATTTTCCTGTTAACAACAGCTGTTATCAAGATATTATTTTGATTTAAGGAAACAAATGAAATGCATATATATTCTCTGTGACTATGAGGCCAACCATGAAGCAATACTGGTGGTTTGGGGTTACAAGATATGAATATTGTATGAAGTTGAGGCTTATTTTCATATATTTAATCAAACATGACTTGATATTTGTGGGCCTATGGCCATAGGATTCATCCACAAGCACCCATACAAGATGAAAGGCAGTAAAGCGAGGTGTGATTATCTCCATCCACTACAAGCGTCTAAGCCATGCCCCAGTGGCTCACCAGATTTTTATTTAACAGCACTGTGACAACAGTGTAGCTATATTTTTACCATTAATACCAATCTTTGCATGATGTTTCAGATGGGTCATGCAAGGCAGGGGTAGAGATAATTTTCTTGCCGATTGTACATGTACAGTATTGAAAACCGCTAGGATGAACAGGTGGATATTCAATAACATAGAACTACACTCTCACTGAAGCAGAGGCAGCATAAATATCTTCAATAAGACATGAAAACTTTATAATTTTCTCTATCTATTCAATCCTTAATCCTTTGAATGAATCCCCAATAAAATGAAAGCAAGTTTTTACCACCCATTTGCTGATTAACGAAAGAATGTTCTATTATTACGAAAGTTAAGTCACCCCCACCTTTCTGCTTTCTCACCACCAGCTCCATGATCACCACCACCACTACCTCTATTATCACTGCCTAAATCAAAATTTCAGTGATGCAGATGGATTTGCTTCAGCCAGAGCAGATCAGCATGGCATCCACTGCCACACCCACTTCCCACCTTCTTCCCTCCCTCCCTCCCTCCCACTCACTGAATCTCACCAACACTCACTCATTCTACTATGACTGTCATTCATGGTACAATATTGTAAAACAAAAAATAATGTACAGTATTGCCAAACTAGTGAATGAAAGCCAAATGAAAGTTTAACACAGTTGCCATTTGCACACAATCCCTGCTTCACCATAGTAAGAGACAGACCAGCTGGGAGCTACCTCTGCCATCTCCCTAGCAGTGCCCCCCCCACTACACTCTGAGCGCCTCCTCCCTCTCTGAACCAGCTAACTCGTGTGCAAAGAAATGTATATTCTCTATGTGTTTGCCCTTAGGACAATTATTTATTTTACTTTTTTTCACGATACGTATGCAAGTAGGAAAATACGAGTTGAAAAACAACCATAACATTGGCCTAGTAGCTTGGTGGTTACAGTGACAAGTTTAATCTGGCTACAATGCCATGATTAATTACTATTAAACACTATTCTATCAGTAAACACTAATAATAACATCAAATCCAGTGAAATACAGTATAGCAAGGACCGAGGAGAGTTACAACTGCAGACGACGCTCCCGTTGTCAGACGTACGTATGAGAGAAGTACAGACCTTGTAAATAGTCCGTAATTTGAAAACGGTGATGGGCTCCATGATAAACAAATTATATAAACCATGCACTTTCCTACGACAATTGACAACTCTGTTTATGTACCTTTATATTTTACAGGTTTTATTGTTTTTATCATCAGTATTTTGACGTTGCAATTATTTTGTCACAGAGCTTAGTACAGGAACACATCCCCCCCCCCCCCTTTTTACATTAACTTATATGGGAAAAATGATTTTGATGAACGTAATCCACCTAACGAAAGCATTTTAGTGTAACCTAACCCTTTCATTCAAAGGGGACTTGCTGTACAGAGCTTTCCTCACTCAGCCTATTACTGTACCTACTACAGCTTTTATCTCCCCCTAGGAGCGTCATTTGGGAAGGGGGGGGCACCCCCCGACCTGGCTTGCCTCTCCCAACGATTGTCTTGCTCTCCAAGGAAAATTTTAATTTCAGTATAGTATTCCTTTTTAATACAGACGAATTTGGATTTGGTGAGAACATCTCGATGGTATTTTTACTATGCATAATTAAACAAAAACTAAGTACTGTACTGTATTCATCTATTTTCATTCCCATTGCCTGTCATTTATAAACTGAATAGCAACAAGGAAGTAAGTCATATTACTAGCAACCACACGGTCCACACCGGGCAAATGCAAATTGAAAATATAAAACGTACTGGAACGTGTTCCGTCTGTTACAGCACCACCCGGCGGCACCTAGGTGGAGCAGGATTTAGACCCCTACTCTTTGCATGTAATGGTGTTGCCCCCCCCAAGCAAAATCTGAAATGACACCCCTGTATTTCCTCCATAAAGCATAATGACACTACAGTATATAAATCTGATAACATCAAGGATACTCACATCATGAAAAAAAAAGCATCTCTACTTTGTTTAACATAAATTCCATCAATAGGGAATGGGGAAATCCCAATATTAACTAAAAACTTAATTTCCAAGAACACGAACATAATAAAAAATACCACCTACCTATTACTGTACTCTTGATGATCCCTTTTACTACTTGAGGCTGGTGTTGTGGGTGGCACAGGGGGGCTTCTCATGTCCATGGGGCCAAACACCCAAACTGATATCCATATTGCGAAGCATCCCACAGCCTGAAATGTAGTTTCATTTTCTTAAATGTATTTAACTTACACAAAAAAATTAATATTCTGTTAATCCTAGACAATTACCCCCTGGGTATTAAACAGTTAATACTGGACAAAAAAAAGTTAATTGTGGTCCTGTGGACAATATAAAGTTAAGTCAGGACAGTACTGTCCACTGGCCATAAAATGTTCAAAACACTGTTCATCTGATAAGTGAAGTTAACCAATGTTGGGTCTGCTTAGTACTTGGATGGGTGATTGCCTTGAAACACCAGATGCTGTTGGCATTTAAAGTTAAGGATCGAACTGGAAATAAGCATCTCAAGGGTTTATTGACTGTCCTTGGTCAAATTGCCTATACAAATCGGTGTGAACAATGCAGTACAGTACAGTATAAAGTTTGGTATGGACAATACACAGTTTGAAGGTGTGGACTGTAAAGTAATGCAAACCAATTCAAATAATATGGTTGTCTAAAAGTAAGTCATCATGGAAAGTCAATCAGTGATGTAGGTTTCAAAACCTTTTTCAGGTCTTGGATTTTTGGTTGAAACCTAAAGAGACACCAAAATATTTACAAATTTTCAGGGTGTTGGGAGGAAGTTGTCAACTGGTTAAGTTTAGGTTCAAGTAGGGGAGATACTTTACCTCAGGTCACCTGGGACTGTAAAAGGTCGAGCCATAAAGTGAGATTTCCTGGGCTATGGTAAATTTTCTTAGACAAGGTGACTCAGGTCAATACCGGCACTGACAGGTATAACATTTTAGTTGAACGTGTACAGTACTTAGCCTTCAGGAGATACTGTAATACATTGTACCCTTGTTAATTCGACAAAAGAGGGGCTCTGGGTCACTTGAAATACAGTGGTCCCTCCATTAATAAGCACAATTTGTTCTACAGTCACTCGTTCACTGAATCTATTATTTCAATGGGATATTGGGTAATTGGTTCCAACTCATAGAATTCCCTTAAAATAAATTAAGAAGTACAAACAAAGTACTGTATACTGGTAATAGCATTAACAAAATGTATTTAGGATGGTGTGTGCATGTAAATGAGTAAAAAAAATCAATAAAGTTATGTATATCTACAAATAAATTTGGGTTGAAAAACTTGTACAGGGACCCCCAAATTTGCGGGGGATAGGTTCTCAAAATGGCAGCGAATCGCCAAATCTGTGAATAACATTTGAGGACTGTGTGTGTGTGTGTGTGTGTGTGTGTGTGTGTGCACACACATTTACAATACAGGTAAAGGAAACTACTGACTTAAGAACTAATGGCTCCCTCTCCAAGTCGCAAAAATGTTGGCAACTTTAAAACTATTCCGGTACCCACAGACATTCTTGGGTACATCCAGGGTGTCATCCGCGAATAACCGAGAACCGTGAAGTAAAAATCAGCAAACTTGCCCCCTACTTAAATGTACTACACTAAAGGACTACATTTTTTTACCTCTGATGCAAAACATATGATGTCTACATTCAAATTATTCACCGTCTTGCAAGGATTCCAGCAATGCAAGTTATATTCCGCTAAGTTTAGTCTGTGCCATTTTATAAGACAAAAACGCTAATCCTAAAACCACCTTCACCCTGGTTGGAAGGACGGAGGAGGGAGGGGGAGGTGAGGTGTTGATAGCCGGGTGACGAAGGTTAGCCAGTGCGTATTTATCATTCGTATAGAGGGAGTTTAAGTTCTTTGCTTATAAAATGTCACTAAAATGACTTGGCAGAATATACAGCTCCTCCCTGACTAACGACAGGGTTAGGGACCCAAATCCAGGTCTTAAGTAGAAATGGTCGGAAGTCGAAAATGCTTAAATAATACATAGAAATTCTAAAATGGGTGTCTCTTTTTCTTCTCAGCACCACAAAACTCTCACTTTTAAGCTTGCCAGCCATTTTAAAGTGAATTACAAACGAAAATTTTGTCTGTGTACTGACGTTGGGACTCGAAAATACGTAATTTGACAAAATTTTGGTACGACAGAGGCAGGTCGTAAGTGCGGGTGGCCGTAAGTGCGGGTGGTCGTAAGTCGGGGAGGAGCTGTAACTTACATTGCTGGAATTCTTGTAAGATAGTGATTAATTTGAATACAGTAAGGTCTTGTATTTCGCAAGTAATATAGACTGGAAAAATTGCGCCAAATTCAAATACTTGTACATAAACTAATGGGAAAAATAACAATATAGACTGGCCACTCTACATCAACCTCTGATTTTCCCATTTATAACCTCCAAATGATACAAATTCTGCCTTTATTGACTTGATTGTGCATTCCGTAAACTAGTTTTTAGGCCTTCCTCAAGTAACCTAATCACACGCTGCTTATCCTGCATCGAGTACTTGGCAAACTTAACTCCCTTATGATAGTCCCGCTTCTCCTTTTCCTTATTTGGCCGCTTAGGTGAGTCTGTCCCACCCCCACCAGCACCAGCAGGACCCCCAGTAGAGGTAGAGGCCATTATCTTGACACGGTGGTAGCACCACCCAAAAAAGCACACAATAGCAGCATGGACGGTAGCTAGGATGGCGCGGGCTACAACGCGATAGTTGCGTTCTTGTACACCTCTTTTACTTTCACCACCGGCAATTCGATCACCAGGACGATTCTTGGAAACATTTTTCTTGCCTTGTCTTTCCGTATTCATCGCTAACACTACAAAATTGGAGAAAACAGCGAAAATCATGGAGCAATTGACAGAAACTGCACGATTCAACTGATCACATGATGTAACAGAGAGCGCTGATGTAAACCATTATTGGTCCTCACTGCAAAACATTATTTTTACTTCCTTTCATTCAGTATTTATGGGTAACAGCTAAATTTGCATCAAAAAGAACAAAATTTACAGAGTACCTCTCAAAAAACACTCCACAAACAAAAGACAGGAATCAATTGAACATGTGATGTTGAACGTGAACTGTAAACATTGTATAACCCCGCGCCACGCTTAAAACGTTAAGGATGGAATCAAAACATTGTGGATGGAATCGCGCTATAGCCAACATTGTATGCAAAAGTTCGCGTTTTACAAACAGCGTTCCCCTATTCATCAATCGTGTAGACAAAACACGCTTTGTAGCAGAAATGACTAAGTGGTATGAGGGCTGTGACGTCATTCAAGATGGTGGCCAGCATTCAGCTGGCTGGATCTCGCGAAATTCACGATATTTTACGCCAAATATAAGACTTGGTTACATTAGGTAGTGCTCGTGAAATTAAAAAAAGCGAAATTAAAAAATGCCAAATATGAGATCTTACTGTATAAACATGCTATAGTTAGCACTAGACAAAAATTTTAGTAAGTATTTAGTACATTTGAGTACAGTACAAGTTTTCCCTTAGGACAATTATTTCTTTTACTTTTTTCACAATATATATCTAGGGCGGTGTGTGCATGTAAATGAATAAAAATACAGTGAACCCTCGCTTTACGCGGTTTCACTTTACGCATTCTACATTTACGCGGTACCCTGCCAGAACCGGAATTCCCACTTTACGCGGTGCATCTACTCATATATGCGGGTGAAGTATATTTTTTTTTATTTAGCTCATAAAATTCATACAAATTACCCAGCCAGATATAATTTACATTGCTGGAATTCTTACAATTTGATGATCATTTTGAATATAAGCTTCATAGATTTGGAATTAGACATACAAATTTTAGATCTAATGCGAGTATTTTGTTTACTCAGAGCAAATATGGTATCTTTTGTGCAAAATATATGACGTGTATATTCAAAATATTCCTGGTCTTGCAAGGAATCCAGCAATGTCATTTATATTATCCTAACTTTAGTCTGAGGTATTATTTATTACGAAAAATGTAAATATACTGTTATAACCCAATCATTTCTCTGGTAGGGAGGGAAGGTGGGGGTGAGGGGTAGGGAGGGAGGGAGGGACCCACGGAGCAGGTGGGAAGAGGGGGAGGGGGGGAGGTGGGGTATTTTGATTGACAGATAGTATTTGGGTAAGTATATTTTATTTATTTATTAAAGATATTTGTTTTAGCTCATAGAATTCATACAAATTACCGGGCCAGAATATAATTTACATTGCTGGAATTCTTACAATTTGATGATCATTTTGAATATAAACATCATAGATTTTGCATTAGACATACAAATTTTAGATATACTGTAAGTATTTTGTTTACTCTGAGCAAATATGTTATCTTTTGTGCAAAATATATGACGTGTATATTCAAAATATTCCTGGTCTTGCAAAGAATCCAGCAATGTGATCTATAGGGGGCAGGGAAAAAACACTTTTATTTGAGTTGCAGGCTGCACTTTTCAGGCATCGTTTGTATGGCTGTAACAAACACCTGTGTAAAATTTCATGCCATTTCATGCATACTTACCCTGCCGCATCGCGAACGACTTTTTGTCAACTTTTAGTGTATACCAAAAATTAGGTGTCATTTAATGTTTTCCAGGATAATGATAAATTTTACATGGGTGACATCGATTTAATTCACATGTTATTTTACAGGTACACCGTATAGAAAATCATTACAAGTTCATATTGAAATTCTTTTTTGTGCGGAACCTTGGCATCATTTTCCTAGACAATAATCTTTGCCTAATATATCCATCTCTCGATTCGTATCCCGTCACTTCAGTGCAAGCTTCAGTCATCACTTTTATGCCTCTCTCGACCGCCTGAGTGCTGTTTGGCCACTTGGGCACCACTAATGGTGTCTCAAGAATGTCATTAACCTGTAGATTTGACAGAGAAGCAATGTAAGGAGGCTCAGTCTTGAGTTCATTCCTCCAGTTAATCATGGAATGATAGTTTTTTGCTTGCCACTTTAGTTTCGGAGTCACCACCTTTCTCATGTTGACTACAGGAGGCACATCCTCATTCCCATCTCCATCTTTACCCTCCTCATCAGTATAGTTTAACAAATTCTCGTCAACAGCAGCATCAGAATCTTCCTCCTCCTCTTCAGATTTGCCAGTGCATTCTTCCTTTTGCTGATTCTCCTCTC